GGTCAAAGCATTATTTCATTAATATTTCCAATAATTATGACAATCTCATTGAATGCAAATCAGATGATAAAAAACTGAACCAACCAATTAAAATACAAAACGCAATGTTTAATGTATTATTAATATTAATAGACTAAGAAACATTTAATAGTTCAGAATAATGCTATGGCATATCGAATAGGCAATAGGTTGGGGAGAGTAAATGTGTTGCTCTAATGATGAGAACAAATAATTCACTGTTATTTTTGGCCAAAGAGTCCGGTAAAACTTTTTAGGTATATTTTACTGGCCGAATGTGGACGCTTGTACAATTAACGGAACCTTCACTAGACCAGATGTTCATATACCAAGCCATATATCATATTTTAGGTGTAATTCATGTTATTTATATTGGAGTATAAAGAAGATGATTGTGAGGTTATGCAATGTTCAGATCAATATATCGCTGGAATAAAATCGCAAAATTTTGGGGTCATAACGACGAAATAACATCGTCCGCATTTAACATCCAAATTTCAAATCCGTAAACAGTTATGTACAATACCATTAACACAAAGCAATATATACCAAACAGGATGACTGACCTACATAATACAATGACAACAGACAAAGTCAGGCAACGAACAAACAAACAAGTAAACAAACAAAACGATTAAGAAGACACTCTAATCTAAATTGTAAAATTGACAATTTACGTTTTTTTTTTAATTTTTATTATTAACTAACTTATGCGGAAGTTCTGTTTCATATCACTAAGAAATAAATGAAAAAAGAAAACATGGAAGCCTAATTTGTGTCACTTGTAGATATATAATATTGTGTCATTGTAAAAGACCTCTCACCTTCGCAGTGCACCTCACCACCATCATCATCATAGAATCTGGCTATACATCCGCCACAATAGTCGGCGACACATTCAGCTTCAGGATTTGTATCACACGACGCTTGAGCGTCACACGGACTCGTTGTACAATTAACGAACGGCATCTCAGGTGGACAGTCTGGCTCTACTAAAATCACCCCTTGTGAATAAATAACAATACACATGTGTAAAAATGTGTTTCATATGATATAATACATCGTAGTTTTTTGGTTTTATCTGTGAATTGCTTTTATTTTCCCCAAAAAGTACAGTTTTATCGAAAAATCTTTCAAAATATATGATTTAATTATAATATAAATATGCACTCAACTTATAAGTTGTTAAGCAAAATCAGTATAGTGATAATAGCAAAAAAATAGCTAATGGAAATCATAATAAAGATGATAACTGTCTGATCTGTCACACTGTGAAGTGCATTCTTTCGCACAATTCACTCTCTAGATGGTAACCAATGTCATTGGACAGACCCGGCAAGATTCTGAATTAACTACTGTAAAATGACTAATTTTCACTGGGTTTAAATTTCACTGATTTACCATTTCGGGCATATTCAGTGGGTTTTAAATTCACGATTTCGTTATTTAGATAATGTGTTCTATGCTAAATTTTACATATTCACTGTGTTTTAATTTAGCGCATTTCTCCAGTCAGCGAAATAAGCTAAATTAAAACCCAGTGAATAATTACCCCCTTTACAGTACTCGACAAAGAAGTGTAAGCACTTCTGTTTGACCGGAAGGATACAATGCAAATAAAAGGTCGTGAATACTGTCCACACGATCATGAATAATAAGCGCAATGCATATGATGCACACCAATCTGGATTAAAAAACGACAAAACGTACCACTTGGTATATCCAGACACACTTACTAAGCTGACTCCTTGTTGATGATTTCAAGATTAAAGCAATTCACCGCCTCTTAGCTGAGAGTGTGATATAACAATCACATTATTATTCCCAATTTTCAAAGTCTTAAATATATGTATGCTTTATAAAAAGTGTACCATCCATTCAGTTAAAATCATTTGGTTCTAAAATAAATCTATATTATTATATTAATAAGTTATAATTATAATATATAATATTAATTATAGAAATACAAACGTTTCAAAAGTTATTGAGCATCTAGTACAGTTAGTGCACCAGGGACTGCCATTCAATATATATGTCAGCAACAGTTATGTAAATGTACTGATCTTGAAATCCTGATATCGATAAAGTTTATCTTCTTCAACTTTTGAACTTGGCTATGTTCCATTGTGTGATCCGTTGACAAATTAACAATACTGATTCAGATTTGTATAACTGCTTCGATTTACAATCAAATGTCAATATGTATACTAACTTAAGATCCACATTCTGCGCACTTTGTGGAATTATTTTTAGTTAAAGCAGGGGAGTCGTCACATGCGCATGCGTCAGATGGACATAGCGTGTCATTGTTTACAAACAAGCGTCTACTCACGAGCCTTTGCGTTTTAGCGTGTTTTGTTATTGTCGCTTGGGACTCAATTCCCGCACGCGCGCAGGTGACGACCCTCCGCTTTAAAGTAAGAGTGTGTTAAAGTTCTTTAAACGGCCACGGGTCGAGCAGATTTCCGCATAGCTATATATATAAGGTTATGTGAGATATTATGTGGACCACTCAATTCATTGTACGATGTGCATACGAATATGTTGATAATTTATGCGTTGATTTTGGCGCCAGAACTTTGTTACTTTGTTTCTGTTGTTTGCTTTTGTCACGTGTTGGTCGTGCTCGGTACTTTTCTATACAATTTTGTGAGCAGTGTAGTACGAGGTATTCCTTAGACTTTATTGCTGTTTCATTGCTGAATATATATACTCATTTAATGCGAAGAAACCTACTTTCTAATCTATTCTTTGAAGTGTTTTGTGGGACATATTCAAGTTTATATGTTTCCCAACCACAAAATGTTATGTTCCCATCGTATTGAAGGTACCATCACATCGCACAAAGGTACTATCGCATCTCACATCACATAATGGCATATTCACATCATATAATGGCATATTCACATCACATAATGGCATACTCACATCATATAATGACATATTCTCATCACATAATGGCATATTCACATCATATAATGGCATATTCACATCACATAATGACATATTCGCATCACATAATGACATATTCACATCACATAATGACATATTCACATCACAAAATGGCATATTCACATCACATAATGACATATTAGCATCACATAATGGCACATTCACATCACATAATGGCATATTCACATCACATAATGGCATATTCACATCGTATAATGGCATATTCACATCGTATAATGGCATATT